GAATCTACATGAAATCCTATATGATTTCTTATGTTCAAATCAATCATATATATGACCCAACGTGAGGATTTTTAATATGATTTCATGGCAGATTTTTTGTAATAATTTTTTATTCAAGAATCGAAAAAAGTTTTGATGTATGATTTGATATAGGAAAATTTCTGGTTAAGGATTGAGCAATAAATTTTAGTATGTTTTTAATGAGAAAACACGAAGGAAATTGACATAAGAAATTGAAGGAAAAAATGGGACCAGAAAAAATTGTAGGATTTCACATAGGAATTTACATAATTTATTACTTAAGGTATCACATCGGTAAAACCGTTTTCTATAGATTTTCTTGAAAATTTTACCATATGTTCTTATTATCATTCTTGACAAATTTGCAAAATATGAAGAATTTTCGCCGTACGAAACCAGAGATATTAGCAATCAAAGTTGCTTATTTTGCATGGGAGACGGGACTAATGTATGGGGGAGAAGTACATTTTCATAAATATCATCAGAAGTTTTCTATAAATATAAACATAAATAAACATAAATAAATATAAACATTAGTTAGAGAGAGACAGTAGTCCACAGTAGTCAAAGCGAGACTTATAGCGACGTTGTCAAACCTCCTACTCCTTCCAATCGCTGCTAGTGTTGGGTATACGTGTACGAGTGTATTTGTAGAAGTAGGTACAGTATGGGCTGAGAGTATAGGGAGTTGAGGGCGAAAGTATAGTGCGGGAAGTAGTAATGCGAGCTACAAACTTTTGACTCCGATTAGTGCCGATGTGATACCTTAAGAATACGTTTATAAAAATTTACATCGAATCCCACTTCAAATCATGTTTCAATTTTCTATATGATTTTTCATAAGATCCTATATAGTTTATTACATGACAGTAGGAAAGAACATGAACGTATTCATGTAGAAGTACTTGTACATGAACCTGCTCAAAAACATGTACGTTTTCTTTTACAAGTATATTTTCTTCTGCAAGATCTTGTACAAGTTCTAATACAAGAACTTGTTCCAAATTCTTGAGCTAAAATTGTACATTTTCTTGACCAGAACTAATACAAGTTCACTAGTTGAGCTGTCAAACTTGTTTATTAAAATGCATTTTAAAGAGGAACAAAATTTTATGTTATTATATTAATAAATATAATAGGTAATTCTATCACATTTTTATTTATTTATTTTTTTTATATTTTATTCGAGATATCATGGTGAAAAAACGGGATATATCTACACACACATTTACAAGTATATATTTTTTAAATGGAAATAATAACCAATTTGTGGTAATTGACATTTTAATTTTACACAAAAAATGAAAAAAATATCTGCAATAAATATATAAAACTTTTAACAACGTTTATAAGCTTGTCTAATCCGCATGATATTATGTCACTATTTGTATATTGATATGTGAAGAATATATGTGACTTTGAATGACACAAGCGACCTTACTAACAAAATGCTGCTTTTAAAAAAATATATTTAAAAGAACAAAACATTTTAAAAAGTTAAAAGGTAAATGTATTTTTGCAATGTTTAAAAAAAATATATTTGCCCTACAATGCGAAAGGTAAATTTGTATATGTTTAGTATTCTAAATTGGAACTTACCGTCAACCGGGGCTATTATACTCAACCAGGGGCTAATATACTCAGCGCCAGTTTTTAATTAATAAAATATTTATATTGAAATGTTTAAACTTTTTTCTTAATGTAAATATTGTTTGATATTTTTATTACAGAGGGCGCTAAATGTTATCACTTAAGTTTTTGACAGGAAGCAGATGAAAATTAATAAAGTCATCAAAGTAGGAATTTCTTTTTTTGCAAATTCGCAAACTATATACTGGATTTTGAAGATTTTCAAGCGAATCCAAAAAAATTGAAAAAATTCGTCTTTCATACTTGATTCATTATTTTGTATTTTGAAAAATATTCGCCGTAAAGACGTTATACTTTATTTAGCACAGCAGCGAGGCTAAATATTTTTTTTCAATGTACCTGAAGAGAAAATCATTACCTAATCTTTATCTTAAAGAGAAAATCATGAATATACATACGAACATGATTGTAATATAAAAGAAAAAATTTGTTGACTTTTTTAAAAGTTATTTTGATCAATTTCACTTTACATCTTCTTCCATTATAATTTTTTTTCTCTACACATGTAATGAAAATATTTTATCGAATATTTATCTGATAGATTTTTTAGTACTGTTTTCATTGGTGAATTATGTTTTTCAATATTTTTGAAATTAGATCTTGATTCACTATGATGAAAATTCGAGGGGAATTTACTACTCTCTAAATCTGAATAAGTAAAAATGTTTACCAATTTGAATTAGTGACTCACTTTTTGCTTCTGAATTAGTTAAATTTTACTAATTGTTAGTAAAAGTTACTAATAATTAGTAAAATTTTACTAATTCTGAAGCAAAAAGTGAGTCACTAATTCAAATTAGTAAACATTTTTACTAATTCAGGTTTAGAGAGTAGTTAAAAACGTGTATGGACTACCTGAGTAAATTTCCCCTCGTGGAAATTAAATTTACTTTGTTACCAAAATCGAGAGGTACTTTTAATTTCAAAATAAATTACTGCAAATGTAAGCTAATGTTTTTATTTCTATTTGTATAGAAACTTCTAGAATAAATTTAAAAATTAAAAGTATCGATTTTGGTAATAATAGTAAACCTAATTTTAATTATAGAAAATCAAGGTTAAATTTAAAAAATATTGAAATTTTTTTTTTTTAAATTATCCCTCTCTCTATCACCGACAAATTTTCAAAAAATTCAAAAAATATTTTTTAAGCTTATTATATTACCATCATATAGAACAATAACTATCTCAAGTTTCACTTTTTATGAGAAAATGACTGTTCAAGTTTGGACATTACACATAAAATGCCTCCGATTTAGAAAAATTAGCACCAGTAAATCATTTAAAAAATCATAAAATTTTTAATTTATAGTCCATTTATTTAATTTCTAAAAACAGTTAAAAATAAGAAAGAGTAATATTAATTAAAGTACTTACAACTGTTTAACTACACTCTAAATCTGAATCAGTGACAATTTCACTGAATTCAAATCAGTGGCTCAGTTTTCTTTAATTCACCAGTGGAATTTCACTGAGAATCAGTGGTTTTTACTGATTCCCAGTGAAATTTCACTGATGAATTAAAGAAAACTGAGCCACTAATTTGAATTCAGTGAAATTTTCACTGATTCAGATTTAGAGTGTAACATATTCTTTTTCATTTTTTTACTTGGCTAAAAAAACTTGTTCAAGAAAATGTAGAAGTTCTTGTACATGTTCATGAATGAACTTGTACATTTTTTGTACATGTTCAAATAATGTTCTTGAACAAGTTCAGCATCCGGAATTGAGACATGTTCTTGTACCAGAACTTGTACAATACCCTGGATAAGAAAATGTACTTGTACAAGAAAATGGACATGTTCTTGTACATATTTTTGTGCAGGTTTCATGTACAAGTACTTTTACATGAACAGGTTTATGTTCTTGTACAAGAACAATTGAATAAAAAATGTTTTTGAAAAAAATTTAAAATAAGTTAGAATTATTAATGACTCTTCACTTATGCATACTAAAAATTATTGCGCAGCTCTAAAGGCTTAAGAAAACTACTGCGCACCCTTTAAAGTTTTTAATTTGTACAAGTTCTGATACAAGAACATGTCACAATTTTGGATGCTGAACTTGTTCAAGAACATTACTTGAACATGTACAAGAAAATGTACAAGTTCATTATGAACATGTATAAGAACTTGGACAGTTTCTCGTACAAGTTTTTTCAGCCGGGTACATCATTAATGTAAAGAAAAAAATCAAAATGTTTCTCGTTATTATTAATTAATTATATTATATTAAATTTCGAAAAACTGAAAACAAAGTTGTTATCAGCGACAATAAGAAAATCTTGAGTAACTAGTTTTAAGCGCATCCCAATTATTCAAAAAAAAAAAATCGTTCGCCATATTAAATCCGCCATTTTGAGTTTTGAAAAACTATCATCGAATTTGTGATTAGTGCCAATAAAAACCTCCGAATAACAAATTTTATAAAAATCTATCAGTCATTGTCAACATCAATCTTTGTTAACATGGACTAAACGTGATCGTAGAAATACAAAAAAGGGAGATCGAAATTGAAGAAATAATTTCTATTTCATGTACCTTGACGGAAATTTTGAATTAAATTTCAATCAGTTTTAATAAGTCTTATTAAGAGACATTCTGCAATTTGTTTCCGAGCCAATCAGTTGCTATCTGAATCTAAATTTTAATGTAACTTAACAAAATATTCTTTCCGAATCAATCTCTTTCATTCCTAAACTGAGTTTCAATTCTTTTAAATTCTGATTTTCCTTTCCAAAAAAACACGTACTGATTGGCTCGAAATAAATTTTGAAATGCCTCAGAATAATACCTATTAAAAATAATTGAACAACAATCCGAAACATTTATCTGGGTATATTAATTTAATTTTTTATGATAGTTACTTTTTTATTATATTATATAAAAAAATTTAAATTATTAGTTTTATATAAATAAAGTCCAAATGTAACTTTTTATTCCATTCTACTCTACTAATTCTATTCTAAATTTTAAATTAAAATTTTTATTCATTTTTGTTAAGGTTATTCGTGTGCACTTAATATTTACAACCGTGTTTTATTATTACTTTTTTATCATAAATTTACTTGGTATATTTATTTAAAAAGTATAAAAAGTATGTGTGCACATTGTAATTCATATTTAATTATGATAACAATGTAGAATAATATTTTTTGTCACCTACATATCATTCTTTACTATATCTTGTATGATTAGAAGATATTTCCACTAACTAATTTACGTCAAATGAATTATAAATTCATTTTACTTTATCCACATTCTTAATTAATATTTATAACATTTACTTATATATATATACGTCAATTAAAATACTGACATGATACTTACCATATAAAATCTTTACAGTGACTGCAAAATGTTGGCTGCTTGAAAAATCGGGGCATAAAACTGTGATTTTTGACGACGTAAACATTCTTTTTCTTCAGAGCACCTTTCCGTCCCCTTAATTTTTTTGCAAAAGCAGTACTTGTATCTGTGGGTCCCAAAGAATCTTCGCACGTGTTGCTGCTTTCTTCGTCCGCCATTATTGTTGCTACAAAGGATAATTTTTTAGAGAAAAAAAATCTTTCTTTTCTCTAATTATAAGAGCTCAATACTTCTTCTACATCAGTGTGTTTCTTCTTCACAAGGTTTCACTTATTTAATACTTCATTTTTCACATATTAATACTATATATTTGTCATTGTGATTGAAAGTTTGTAATGGAAAGACATCACTTCGCCACATGATTTACGTAACAAGATTTTCATTTACTGTCTGTAATTTTTTCATGCTTTTACCCACTATTTTTCCCGTGTCACTGACTACTGCATAACCCCTACACCAAATTAGCTGTCACTTTACCACTCCATGCTGTCTCACAGAACGCGACCGATAAAATTAGATTCAAAGCGCAGTAGCTCAGTAGCGCCATTGCTCATCTCTTACCGCGCACTCGGGTATCGACATTTAAAAGGAACGTTCATTCCTTCACAGTATAAAAACTTTTCTACATGATGAAATTTTCTTTTCAAAATTATTATAAATAATCAAATGAGATAAAAGTATATATTTGAAATAATTATTTTTTAACTATTATTGCGAGTAATATTCTTCTGGTATTTTTTAAAAGAAAAATCTTTCTTTTTAGAATTTCCGCGGGGTAGTTTTTAAGTATATACTATTAACTGAATAGCTGCCAAATAATTTTACATAAATTTGGCAAACTATATTTTATTTCATTCATTTTAGGTTGTCTGAAAATTAACCTCTCATGCAATAAATCGTTTATTAAATGTCTAATTAATTTCGTAACGCTTTATACTAAAATAAGTAAGTAGGATATCTTTTGCGTTAAATCATTTTATTACAAAATCACGTTTAATGTTTTTATGATATAAATTATATGCAGTCTTCTCAAAAATCGAAAATTCTGAAAGTTCTTACTAAAATATATATTTGCCCTATAAATAATGAAAAATACATCGGTCGCTATAAAATTTTTCCCGCCATTTTAAAATAATATCACGTGTCACTTTAGTAGTTTTATGTTATGAAAACAGTTTTACTATACAAAAACTAGTTCCTTTACATTTCTTATAACTTAAAGTATTTTATGTAATAGTCTCAAGGCTTTAAACTACGTTTAAAATTTGTTTATGTTAATATAATCAAGCATAAAATTTTTCTCTTGACTAAACTTTTTCAATAAATTACTGCACAATACGTTATATATTGCGTCAACTTTCTGTCAATATTTCAGTAGTTTGTTGCAATATTGCCATTAAATTTCATTTTAAACTTAAAGGAATATTGCATTAAATTGTCATAAAATAATAAAAACCTTTTCATACCAATTTTTCTGCAATACCTACTAAAATAAAATATTAATTTAAAAAATTAAGTTAATTAATTCAATATATAATTAATAGAAAACCGTTACCATTAATTAATTTATTATTCAATTTGAAACAATAATTATATTAAAAAAACCAAAAAATAAGTATACTTTTACTTTATTTTTTAATTTGTTCTAATTTCAAGCTCTATTTAAACACATATTAAATATATTTTATTTCAAATATTTATTTAATTAACTACATATTTTGTATACAGAGAAAGATGACGGGGCGGAGCGACATACATTTTGTTATTTTAAAATATTTTCTGATCGTATTCTGATACAATAGGTCAAGGTATATCGTAACTTTTGATAATGTATACATTTATGATATACGTTTTAATCACAGAAAAGTTATGGACAATTTTCTGAGCATTAAAATCTTGAAACGAAGCGACGCACTCACCTATTTACTGTATTTCAAGTCAATATTATCTCAAAATATGTATTAGAAATAAAGATAAAAATGTTGTTTTAACTTTGTTTTTATTTTATATATAAAAAAAATTTAATAAAAATTGAAAATTTACGTTACACGAGAGACATCGCGAACAAACACGAGTTAAAAATAAAATTGAATTGTCTATTAGGGAAAGAAGTTGATAACTTTTCTATAGATATTGCTTCCTCATGGAGGAAGCATTGTAGAAAGAGATCGGGCTTACTTGGCGCACTTTTCACTCTTTGTTGTTTAATTCTCATTTATTTTTGATTTTTTTTTAAAGTTATTGTACAGAAAACTTGTTGTAACATCTCAGCTTTAATTTAATCCCTAACTGGTACAATTCCGCGTTGGAATGTAAATGGCGGTATTAAATATTTTTGCATAAAAATTTAACCTGAGATACTTTATGATGTGTTTTTTAAAATATAATTAGTTTTACTAATATATATTAAAATATAAAAATATTCAAAAGCTATACCTACCCAAGTAACACGTAATATTAAAATATCTACCTCCTAGTAATATTACCGCTTAATATTACAGTAATATTAACCGGCAATATTACAAAAAATTTCAAAAAACACTTAAAAATATTTGATTGATTAATTCTTATCTTTTTATGTATTTCAAATAAACGTGTAATATTACTGTAATATTACGTGCTACTTGGGTAAATACAATTAATTTGAGCTCAAAAAAATACTCGGGTCTACTGGACCCATGGTGCCAGTTAAGGGTTAAGGCACTCTCACACCTTTTTTGCTGCCTGCCTGCCTGCAGGTTACCATAGCAACGCACGAGTGTGAGTGAGACAGAAAATTTGAATATTCAAAATTTTAAATCTTCTGTCGCACTCACTCTCATGCAATGCCATGGTAACCTGCAGGCAGCCAAAAAGGTGTGAGAGTGCCTTTAAACTTGGCAGCGGTTTTTTATTATTAAATATTCTAAATTATACGAAATTCAAAAATTATCTGTATCAGTCAATACGAAAAGACAATTTTAATACCGGAATTTATAAGAAATTAATCCATTCAGTAGATTTAATACGGTCTAAAATCTTAACCCGAAAATTATCCGGAATAGTCCGAAATATTTATGTGAAAAATCCGATATTAGTCTAATTAATATTCAGTTTTGTCAAAAATCCTAATCTGAAATGAGTCTGAGAAAATTCGATATTTGTATGTAAAATAAAATAATTCCCTATTGAAAATTCCTGTACAAGAAAATGTACATGTTCAGCAGCTCAACTTGTACTTGTTCTGGTGAGAACATGTACAAGAAAATGTTCAATTTCGGCACCAGAATTTGGAACTAGTTCTTGTATCAGAACTTGTCAAGATCTTACAAAAGATCTTGTACAAGAAAATATATATTTAATATTTGTATACATAGCCTAGTAGTTTTACGTGCGAGTAGAAATTAAAAACTTTAAAGTCTGCGCAGTAGTTTTTATAGGACTTTACAGCTGTGCCATAATTTTCTACATTAAAGGCTAATTATCTCCAAAATTAATTAATACTAGCAACTTTGTCGTCCGCAAGCGGCCGACTACGTTGCAGGACAGGGGGCCAGGCAGCATGGAACGCCACCCAGGTGCGAATTTTCCGTCGGCCCATGGTTGGGCCAACTTTGAAAAAGTTGGGACAACTTCACCTGCCAAAGGGTGGGCCAACTAGCGAAATGATAACGGTTTACCACCCATTGGCATCGATGGTCGGCCCAACAACTCGTCCCAAGGTTGGTCCAACTCTAAAAGTGTATGTTGTACCAACTATAATTCTCATTGGTTGACCCGACAATTTGTCCCAAAGTTGGTCCGACAACTTGTCCCAGAGTCGAACCAACTTTAAATGAGTATGTACCAAAAATATAAATAATTAAAAACATGAATTAATTATACAATTAGCACACTGGTAAGTTCTGAAGAATTTTACATATGTCCTTACTTATTAATATTAAACGCAATCTCCTAATACATTTATGAAAATATCTAACGCTCGCTAGGATCGAACCCCTAACCTAACGCATCGCAGTCTTATACGCTAACCATTACGCTACGCTTACATGGGATTTTTTTTCAGAAATGTATTTGAAAGCTGACTGAAGAAAATAATAGCTTAGGCAGCATTAGAAGAATAAAGAAACAATAATGATGCGGCACGACATACATATTTTAATAAAAAATATATTTAACAAAATTGATAAACGTTATTAAAAAATGAAATATTTTAAAACTAATGAAATGAGGATTATTCTGAATTTATTAATTAAAAGCTTATCAAATTCTGCATTTAACATGCCTATTATATGAAGTACTTTGAATTAACGAATTGTTAACAAATAATTAATAAAAACAATTTGGCCAACCATAGCGTTTAAGTCTTTTAAACTACGTTTGCCGAAGTTTTGACGACGGTCGGGCCAACCTTCACCCAGAGTTTGGCCAACCGAAGCATTTAAGTCTTTTAAACCATGTTTACCGAAGTTTTGCCGACGGTTGGCCCAACTCTGGTTTAAGTTGGGCTTAAATTAAACGGTTGGCTTTAATCAGCATGCCATAGTTGGCATGCAAAGTTGGCCCGACCTTGGTTACTTGTAAATACCCAGGTTGGACCAACTTTGGTTACCAAACTTCGCTTGCCAAAGTTAGGCCAACCTAGGCCCAACCATCCAACTCTGGCAGCCAGCCTGAATTCGCACCTGGGCAATTGGAACGCCCTGCAGTGAAGTGGTCAATAAATATGTCGATTACCGACTTTCTTCATCAGGACGGCAGCACAGGTCTACGAGGTTTTCTTTTGAGATGTTATAGTGGTTTCCAATGTATTTTTGTATGCTGAACACGATCTTGGCTTCTAAAGTGTGGGTAAAATATCCAAAAACCGTCTTTTTGAGGGTTTTCAGTATTTATTTTCTCCTTAACATGACGTGCTAGATACTTCCATATATATGACCGGGTCTGAGAAAACGGTGCTATCAACCAAAATCAAATTTTCGAAAAAACGCGTTTCAAGTTTTACTACCAATTAAAATAGATTTTTTGAAAAATTTTATATTTCAAAGGAACTGTACAAGTGTTCATTATGTATTTTTTATGCTGAACACGATTTTTATGGTTAAATAATTTTTTAAAAATCAGTGTTATTTTTATAAACAATTTGTTTTTAAAAGTTAAAATATTAAATTTAAAATTTTAATTTAATCAACTTACTGATGTCCTATAGATATGAAATTTTTTATGCATTCAGAACTAACAACCGCACTTGGACAACCAGGTCGACGATAACGGATATACCATATGGATCTTAAAGTGTACGATTTAAGCCTATACAGAAGTCTCTAACATGTCAGGTTAAGGAGAAAAGAATACTAAAAACCCTTAAACGCACGTTTTTCGGGGTCTTTACTCCAATTTTTTTGCAAGGCAAAACATTTAAAATTTCATCCCTACTGGAAAATTCTACATAGATCCCTAAAAGGAATCCTACAAGGATTTCATGTAAATTCTTGTCGGATTCTTTATAGGAACCTATGAAAATTCCCACAAGGAAAAATCCTATA